AAATAAATATTATTTATTGAAGTGATGGTAAATATCCCACTTCCAGTAAATGATCAGAGCTTTTCAAATGAAAGGCAAATAAATAATCAACTTCATGAATGTATTATACATACAAGCGTTCAAAAATTAATCTATTCAATTATAAGTACTTTAAATATTAATAAATATAAGAACAATTAAAGTGAAGCAACCAAAAAACGAAGGAACAGATTTGTGATCTTATGGAGAAAAAAGTCGAGTTGAATGAATACTAAATTAAATCAAATAATGGGTTGTTGATTTTATATCGAAGAGGAAAAAAAATCTGAATTGCAGTTTGTCGTTTGGTGGGGTGGGAGAGCACTTAGTTCTTCCGAGTCTTCATTTCCATTTAGGACATCTGGATCACATTAGAAAGCTTTCAAATCGCCCTTTTTAATAAATAATAATTAAATCATAAAATTAACTAAAAAATAGTAAAAAGAGAAAATACTTTTGATATAAATAAATTTACAAATATAAATAAAATAAAGCTAAAAATTGATGATAAAAGATCTTCACTTAGAAAAGATATATTTATTTTTTCCGATGATGGGGTGCGAGGAGTGATGCCTAGTTAATCCGGTAGCAGAAAAGGTGTTTCAGTTAAGCAGAAAAAATATTTAGGTATAAAAGTTAAAAAGAGTTGCTATCGAGTGGAGCTTATGTGGATGGCCGCGATCACAAAGGTCAGTAGTTTTTGATTTAAGTTAAGTGAGAATCTTCCAGTTATTCGAACAAAAACCTTGACTAACGTTCACATTAAGGTTAAAGTATGTATGATATGTCTGCTGTTTACAAGAAAATGACATGAAAAGCACATTCATACGAATTAAAGTTTGTTTTTTGCTCTTGACATAAAAAATAATGTAAATAGGTAGCTCATTAATAATATTTCAATTTTTGCAGTAAAGAAAAATAAATAATCAGACTGATAGAAAAGATTGTGATCAAGATAAATTAACTTTGATGGAATGCATGAGAAAATGGTATGCATGAGTAAATGTTTTCAAATTGGTTGATTGAAAACAGGGGTAAACTTTTTACGAACAGTGCCACTATCTGATTAAAAAAAAAATAAGCGTGCCACTTCTAACGTTTCCAACAATATATATATATATATGAAAGTGAGTGAATATTAACTTCGCACTGCTCAGCTACTCGAGGGCTTTTGGCGACGGACTTCATAATTTTGAGCCATGGTCAACAGACGAGGACGACACCTCAGCTGGAACCCCTCTACTAACTACCACACCACTCCACGGGAGGTAGTTTGAGCTCTCGACAGATTTAACGTGCATCGCTCCCCTACACGGCGGGTCTTTAGTGGCACTGGGCTCAAACTCGTGACAAGCCAGCCACGATCTGATACCTTGACCATTGGCTAACGCCACCATTGAAAAGATAAAAAAAATATTTTACTTAAAGGCTTATTAATGAAATTTTTCTGAAATAACACATTTTTATATAAAAATCTGAGTTGTGGAAATTCAAAATTAATATGATGAATAGGACAAAAATACGAATTTAAGTTTTATTGTGTTAACAAACTTTTTACAGTTATCGAAGATGCTAACAAATTCGTTGTCTTAGGTGTGTGTCTATCAAGAAGTTTTGAACTATAATTGGATTTTATTATGTTCATTAAAGAAACACTTGTTCAAAAAAGTGTTGATCCAAAACTGCAACAATATTTGACATCTGATAGTGAAATCGAGAAGTGTGAAAATTGCTAGCTCATTACAACTTTTAAAACTTCGACATAATTTGGCTTCCTTGGTTTTCAAATAAGTTCTGTACATTTGCTTTTTTGGGTAGTATGATGATGTAGGTCAATAATTCCGATTTGGATTTCAGGTAAATAGCAATAAACTTCTCGTCGAGATTTGAAAAAAAAATGTATGAAAAGATCAGCATTTTTTATTTATTTATTTTATTTATTTATTTATTTATTTTTATCTTCTTAAAATCATCAAACCTAGCACTGAATGAATTCTGCAAATTGGATATTAAGTTTTTAAAACTGTCATAACTCGGGGCACAAATTTGGTAGATAACTCCTGTATGAATGTGAAATGTGTTAAACTTTATCTCCAAAAACGAGACAAAAAAAGTAAACTCTTGATCATGAAAGAAGATATATGATCAATTAAGGTAAGAAAAGTGCCATTTATCCTTGCAGTCTTAAATTCACATTACTTAAATGTCCCATAGTATTGGTAGGAAAGTCCCAAAGCCAATTTACATTATTCACAGTAGCAAACACTTCACAGGGCAGTTGATTGCTTTTTCTACCAGATATTTTTAAATCCGCTCCCTCAAACTCCAAAATTTCACGTGTGTACTTACTTTGAAAAGCCAGTGCGCACAATAATGGAGGAGTATTTTTACTTTATAATTTTCTATTGTAATTCAATTAAATACATTTGAAATATTGATGTCTTTTTTCTGAGACAGCCGCATTTCATTTAAACTGTAAAAAAAAATTATATTTATATATTTTTCGATAAGTTGCGTGCCACTGTTAAAGCTCCTGTTGCACGCGTGCCGCAGAATCCCCCGATCTAAAAAATTAACTGTGGCAAGCATTCCCACGGGTTGGCCATCCCTGAACTAAAAAGTTAACTGTTCCAAACGAATTCAAACAGTTATCTCTTAATATACCAAAACATGGATTTAAAAAATAAATTCGGAACCCATTTTAACGAATTCATTGGAACCGCAGATTTTATTCGTTAATTCGGTGTTATTTATAATATCGCTGTTTAAAAAAATACAGATTTTTTGGACTTACCTTTGGAAATTATGCTACGAAATACACACAAAAAATATCCACAGTTAGAAATTACACACTTTTTATTCAGCTGCTAAAAATATTGGTACCATTGAAAGAGAAAAGAAAGGAATTTCCTGTCGTATTCAAAACTCATGGGTGATCTGCAAATGTAAAGTCTTGTAATGGGCTGCACGGTTTCCCGTACAAATTTGCTTTTTACAAGAAAGGTCTTTTGTTCCGAACGAAAAGGATGTGTCATTTGAAAAACAATCTAATTTGTTTAATCCAAACTAATAAAAAAAATTTCGACATTTGAATTTATTTATTTATTTGAGGTTTATTGTGCATTAAATAGGTCGGTGGGGAAGGGGGATTGCCTTTCTTTTAATCGGGGAGAAAGAAAAATTTATTAAATAGAGAAAATCGTTAAGTAGGGCTTCGGTAAATCAGTATCCAAATGTATATTTGTTTTGAGTGAAAAAATTGCCTTAAAAATAATTTTAAAATAAGTAATGCTGAGTAAATTTTTGCTATATTATTTTTTAAAAATCCCATGTTTTAAGAAAACGTGTCTGTAACAAAAATATCTGCTTTAGGTTCAACTTCAGAAATTATTATTTATCAAAAAGAAAAACTAGTATCTCTAATTTTCAACTTAAAAATTACAGTCTTAGAAATATTAGTCACATTACACACCTAACCCTCAAAAGTCCAGGACTGTATTTTTTAGTACTTTTCATTCAGCCTTTCATCTTATAATCATATTTAATAAATTAATTCTCTTTTTTGTTCTTAGTTGCATTTGTCGATTTTTGTTCAGAATTTGCCAAAGGAATCCTTTTCTTGTTTATCCCATCATGTAAGAATGTTAAATGACTCACGGACAGTCAAATATGCACACATCTTTTCTTTTCGTAAATAAATACAAGTTGCAGAGATGGAAGGAAAAGGAATGGAAGTAAAGCTATCTAAGTATCTCTGCTAAAGGAGAATAATAAAGCTAAAGGAGAAATATCTTCCCTTTCTCGGAAAACCAAGACAAATAAAAAAAAAAAACATTTGTAAATAGTTATTTTTAAGGAGCAGTGACAAAGATGTTCTTCAAACATTGAACCGAATAATCGTTTATATTATTTACATTTCTTGCAAATCATTCTCAACACACAAGAAGACAACGTGATTTAAACCTTCGCTTTATTTAAACAAATAAGAGTAGCTTTTTGCCTCATTTCTTACTCCTGTTATTAACTCATACAAGTAATATAAAAAAAAATCATTTTTAAGGTTTCCGACTACGTTCGGAACCGTGATTTTAAAAAAGCGTATAAATGGATAATTTTCATGATATTTAGTGTCACTCAGATTGGAATACATGCATAAAATTGTTTTAAGGGCATTTTGACAAAAAACAATTATTTAAATACAATATTTTGGTAAAAAATTACCTTAGAAGAATCTTTATTCAAAATGTTCTAATTTTGTGAAAAACGCTTCTATTATAATAATGTTTTGCCTGTATATAGCTCAGACCTCTCTACATATGCTCAACCAGAATTTTGGAAAAATGCACATTATTTTCAGAGTTACCATCAATTGAAATAATTATTGGCGTTTTTTTCTTAAAATTGCTCCCCTCTGTTCTCGTAAAATATGAATAAACCCACTTCTAAGTTACATACTTCAAAAATTCTAGTTGAGCCTCAGTAGAGAGTTTTGAGCTATATACAGGAAAATATTATTATAATAGAAGAATTTTTTGCATAAAGAGAACATTTAGAAAAAAGATTATTCTAAGTTAATTTTTTGCCAAAGATATTGTATTTAAATAATTTTTGTCAAAATGCCCTTGAAACAATTGTATTACATGTATTCCAATCTAAAAGTGACACTAAATATCATGGAAATTATCCATTTATGCGCTTTTGTAAAATCACGGTTCCGAACGTGGTCGGATACCTAAAGTCAATACCTATTTGGGTCAACAAAGAAATATTTTATTTTACTTACTTTTTTATTAAATAGTTACAATAAATATAAATATGTATATACATGTGAAAGAATTAAGTGACAAAACGGAAAGCGATTTTTTTTTCTTTATATGTTGTTGGACTATTTTTTTTTTTTTTACTATTTATTCATTCATTAAATTTAATTCTTCTAATAAAATAGTATAGTAAAAACAAAATCCCATTCTCAGAAATTAGGCCATCCCGGGTGGGATTCGAACCCACGCCCTTTAGATTAGAAGTCCAACGCACTAATCATTGCGCTACAGGGACAAAATAAATTTGTAAGACGGGAAAAAGTTTCATAAGATTTAATGTGTTTTAATCTCCTTAAAATAAAAATGTTAGAGCCTATTGAAGGAATTGTCCAAATTAGTATATCATAAATTGATAAATAGTTAGTAAATTTCGTTTTTATTAGTACCGACAAAGTAAGTTGAAAGTGCATGGATTTGAATCATAGTTAGGAGAAGTTATATATTATGGTTGAATTTAGGAAAAGTGTGTTCAACACAAAAATTTTGTTTACATATTTTGAAATAACAAAAGGAAAAATATTCATTTAATCTACATTAGTGCATGATTATATAAAATATTTATGTATGTGTGACTTAAAAAATTTCTTAAGCTTTATTTGATATCTTCACTTGTAAATTGGAGACTTTAAATTTAACTTAGATTTTAGTATGCATGGTTGCTTAAATGAATCTTAATTTCCTTACAGTCCAGAAATACTCTCAGGACTAAATTTCACTGAAACTAATGCCTGACTATTGACCATCCTGATATGTCGCATACTCTTATTTTATTACTTTTTGTGTAACTAATGCAATATACTTGTAATAATGAAGCATTTTTCACGTATTTGAAAGTTCAGCTTATATAACAAAAGGATAGAAAAAAAAAGTTTATTTATTGAAGTGATGGGAAATATCACACTTCCAGAGGAAATGATCAGAGCTTTTCAAATGCATTGCAAATTAATAATTCATTTTCATGAATGTATTATATATACAAGCGTTCAAAAAGTTATTTATTCAATTATAAGTAATTTAATGGTAAATAACAAAAAGAACAATTAAAGTGAAGCAAACCAAAACGAATGAACAGATTTATGATCTTACGGAGAAAAATGTCGAGTTAAATGAGTGCTAAATTAAATCAAATAATGCGTTTTGATTGTATGTCGAGAGAGGAAAATGATTTGAATTGTAGTTTGTAGTTTGGTGGGGGTTGTATATGGTAGAGCACTTAGTTCTTCCGAGTCTTTATTTCCATTCAGGACATCTGGAGGACATTAAAACGCTTTCAAATTGCCTTTTTAAATAAATAATAATTAAAACATAAAATTTTAACTAATGAAAAATAGTAAAATGAGAAATTTCTTCGGTATTAATAAATTTACAAATATCAATAATATAAATCTAAAAATCGATGAAAAAAGATCTACAGTTATAGAAAAGATTTATTTATTTATTTTTTTTCCTTAATATGAGTGCCAAGCTCTTCATATATAAAAAAATAATGTAAATAGATTGTGCTTTATTAATATTTCATTTTTGTAGTAAGGACAAATAAATAAATAGACTAGATAGGAAGTGTTTGGGATCAAGATCAATTAACTTTTATAGAAAATAGTATGCAAGAGTAAATGCGTATTTTTCTAATTGATTGATCTAAAACAGGGATGGTCAACCTATTTAGAAGAGTTCCACTATCTGATTAAAAAAAATAAAAATATCCTTGCAACTTCTTCTAACTTTTTGAACAAAAAAATATATATTTATGAAAAAATGAAAGTGAGGGAATATTAAAGTCGCACAGTTCAACTACACTAGAGCTTTCGGCGATGGACCTCATAATTTTGAACGATGATCAAGAGATGAGAAAGACACCTTAGCTGACACCCCCTCTCCTAACTACCATACCACACCAACGGGACGACGTTTGAGCTCTTGACAGATTTAACGTTCAACGCGCCCCTACACGGCGGGTCTTTAGTGGTATTGGGCACGAACTCGTGACAAGCCAGCCACGATCCGATACCTCGAGCATTAGGCTACCGCGGCCAATGAAAAGATGAAAAAAAAATTTACTTAGTCTCATTATGGAATTTCTACTGAAATAACACATTTTTATATAAAAGTCAAAGTATAGTGGAAATTCAAAAATAACGTAATAAATAAGAAAAATGTATGATGTTAAGTGCTGTACTGCATTGTTAACAAACTTTTTACCGTTTTTGAAGATGCTAACAAATTTTTATTTTAGGTGTATTTCAATAAAATTTGAGCTATAATTTGATTTTATTGTGGTCATAACAGAAAGTACTTGTTCAAAAACGTGTTGATCCAAAACTACAACAATATTTGACATCTGATTGCGAAATCGAGAAGTTTGAAGATTGCTAGCTCTTACAACTTTTCAAAATTCAACATAATTTGGATTCATTGCTGTTCAAATAACTGCCGTATATTTGCTTTTTGTTGTAGTATGATGATGTAGGTTAATATTTCCGATTTGGATTTCAGGTGGATAACAATAAAAGTCTTTCTGAAGTATTATGGGAAAAAAATGTATGATAAGATCAGCTGTTTTATTTATTTATTTATTTTTTATATTATTGAAAATCATCAAACCTAGTACTGAATAAATCCTGCAAAATGGATATTAAACTTGTAAAACTGTCATAACTCGGTGTATAACTTTGGTAGATAATTCCTGCATTAATGTGAAATGAATTAATTTTTATCTCCAAAATTGAGGAAAAAAAATTAATTAAAGGCTTGATCGCAAAAGAAGATATATGATCAATTAAGGTAGGAAAAGTATTATTTATCCTTGCAGTTTTAAATTCACATTATTTATATGTCCCGTAGTAACGGGAAGAAAAGCTAACTCCCAAAGCCAATTTACATTCTTGAGTAGCAAACATTCACTGACTTTTCTATACCAGATATTTTTTAAAACATGCTCCCTGAAACTCCAAAATCTCATGTGTGTACTTCCTTTTAAAATCCAGTGCACACAACAATGAAGGAGTATTTTCTACTTTTTAATTTTTAATTTTGATTCAATTAAGTGTATTTGAAATTTTGATGGCTTTTTTGTCTGATACAACCGCGTTTCATTTAATCTGTAAAAAATAATAATAATAATATTTATTATTTTTTCAAAATTTTTAATTTTTCGATAAGTCGCGTTAAAAAATTAACTCTTTCACACGAATTCAACAAGGTAGCTCTTAACATATCAAAACATGAGCTTTTAAAAAAATACAGTCGGACATAAATTTAATGAATTCATGGGGTCCGAATATTTTATTCGTTAACTCATAATATCGCGGTTTAAAAAAAAATTTCCACTTACTTATTGGAAATTATGCTAGGAAATACACACAAAAATATATCCACAGTTAGAAATCTTTTTTTTAACTGATAAAAATACTGGTACCAGTGAATGAGATAAGAAAGGAATTTTCTGTCACATTCAAAATTCAAGCGATAGGTTACACTCGTGACTCATCTGCAACCTGAAAGTCTAATAATGGGCTGTACCGTTTCTCGTCGAAATTTGCTGTTTACAAGAAAAGTCTTTCTGCTCTGGGCAAGATGGGTTGTGTCATTTGAAGAAAATTCTAATTTTTCCTAATCCACACTAATAAAAAAAAACAGTTTAATTAATTTATTTATTCCAGGTTTATTGTTCATTAAATAGGTAGAGTAGGGGATTGTCTTCCTTTTAATTGGGGGGAAAAACAATCATTAAATCGAGAATTTCGATAAATATGGGTTTGGTAAATGTGTATCCAATTGTACTTTTATTTTGTGGGAAAACTGTCTTAAAAATAATTTTAAAATAATGAATGCTGTGTCTAAATTTTTATAATATTATTTTTAAAAAAATCCCTAGATTTACGGGAATAGATTCTGTGACAAAAATATCTGCTTTTTGTTCTCGTCAGATATTATTATTATCAAAAAAGAAAAACCATATATCACTAATTTGCTACTTAAAAATTACACAGGATCTTTTACTAGTAGCCATATTACACACCCAACAATCTAACTTGAAAAGTCCAGGTCTTTATTTTTTAGTACATTTCATACAGCCTTTCATCTTATAATCATATTTAATAAATTAATTCTCTTTTTTGTTCTTAGTTGCATTTTTCTATTTTTAATCAGAATTTGCCAAAAAAATCGTTTCTTATTTATCTCATCATGTAATGATGTTAAATGACTCATGGACAGTCAAATATGTACACATCTTTTCTTTTCGTAAATAAATACAAAGTGAAGAATTGGAAGAAAAATGAATGAAAGTAAAGCTATAGAAGTATCTCTGCTAAATGAGAATAATGATGCTGAAGGAGAAATACCTTCCCTTTCTCGGTATAAACCAAAACAAAAAACATTCGTAAATAGTTATTTTTAAGGGCAGTCACACAGATGTTCTGCAGAATAATCGATTATATTATTTACTTTCTTGCGATTCTCTCTCAATACACAAGAACACAACGTGATTTCACACTTTCGCTTTATTTAAACAAATAAGAGTAACTTTTTGTCTTCATTTCAAAATCCTGTTATTAATTCAAAACTAGTAATATATAAAAAAATTTAAGTCAATTCCTACTTAAGTCAACAAAGAAATATTTTATTTGATTTACTTTTTTATCAAACAGTTACAATTATATGATATAAATATATATACATACATATGACCGAATTATATTAGTGACAAAATGGAAAACAATTTTCCATTTTCCTTTCTATATATGGGTTTGAACTATTTTGTTTGTTTTTTACTATTCATCCATGCATTAAATTTAATTATTCTAATAAAACAGGATAGTAAAAATGAAATGACATTCTAAGAAATTAAACCATCCCAGGGGGATTCGAACCCACGACCTTTGGATTGAAGTTCTACGCGCTAACCATTGCTCTAAAGGGGTACAAATAACGGTATTCCTTTCTATATATGCTGTTGAACTATTTTTGTTTGTTACTATTTATTTATTTTTAAGTTAATTAAGGAATTAAAAAAAATATTTGAATAAACTGTATTAACATCAATTGTCATCCACTACATTTTTAAAAATTGTATTTAAAATTGAATGAATGAACAGAAATTATTTTCTATTGATTGAAAATTTGAACAAGATATATAGAGTCAACTAATAGTAGGAATTGAAAAAGGTATTATTTTGATTTTGAATATATGTTATATCAAAATAAAATCAAAATAAGTTAATGTGTTTTTCTATG